AAAATGCTATAGACTTACAAAGTCACTCTTCTTCGCATCTTCGATATCTCCTTGGTCCATTTCTTTGTTCCCTTGTTTGAGAGAAAGGAAGTAAGGTAGATTTAGGCGAGGCCGACGATCGCCAATGGGAAGCCGTGAAAGAACAAATGAGAACAGTGGTTTCAGAATCGCCGCGAGTGCCACACATCCTAAACATCAACTCGAATTGGAAAAGAACTAACAACTACACAATTTTACCTTCGTAGCATAGCAAAACTAGCAAGAATTTCATGAAGTGATCTTTGGTTAGAGAAGGAACATATTCCAGGTATGGCCGCATATTTTCGGGCAGACGTTGCTCGATTCTAAATTGCTTCCACTGAGAATCAAGTTTTTGGTTGAATGTCGTGGTTGGTTTGGAATAATCAAATGAGGCTTCGCTATGGTAGGTGCCAGGCTTATCCTACTCGGCAATTCCCGGTTCACCTATTCCGCTATTGTCCGAGGTGCTGAACTGACCAATAGCGGATGAGCCGAACCAATGGAATCGGGTAAGTCTGGCACCTTCCTATGCTACTGCAGCGTTAACAAGTATTGGTGCAATTATAATCAATTATTTGAAAATGCAAGGCATTTCTTTGGACCACAATTAATTAAAAAAGGAAAAAAATTGGGGATGATGCACCATAAGACAGAAGAGGTACTTTGATGAGAAGTCAAAAAATTGAGCTGTAGAAAAGAAAGATGAGTATATGCCATTCAAAGGCGTTCGCTGAAAAAATACCCCAGATATATGGAGAAAAGCTAGGAATCCAGACAGAAACAAGGACAAGACATCGCAACCACATTACCTTGAGAAAAGACCTGGACCTTCACTCTTAGCAAGTGTCTTGTTGACCATCGCCGAATAGGTTTCAGGCAGATGCCTACCACCGAGTCCCATAAGCCATTCGCGTCCATCAGGTCTGTGATACAATTCTTTGAAGAAGGCAGAGCATCTTTAGGACGAAAACTCACTTGAAGAAAAGATAGAGTGAGAAAAGAACAGCTGAAGCAGTGAGTGGGAACTTTTTTGCTTCGGACAGGGAGATGGACGCCTGAGTTCTACAGATGCGATGATGGCCAAAAACAAGAGAAAAGAATTTAACTGAAGCAAACAAACCTCAAGTAACCGTTTTTTGCTCATCTGATATTTCACAAAATTCGCAGAACGGATACCACCTACGATGATGCACAATAGGGACATCGCATACAGAGAGCAAGATGCCATCGCCTAAAAACAGAAAATTGAAAACAAACCATTCTAATCATGCCAAAATAAAAAGTATCGCTAGAACCCCAAAAAACTGCGAACCAATTCATCGATCGCAGTTTAAGTAAGTAGTAATGTCGTTCCAGTAATGAATCATGGGAAAACTGCTTTGATGTTTCAGCGTATTCCGCGAATTATGAATGTCTTGTGCCACGCAACTTCTAACAATCACGCTATGTTGTTGATAGAACTGTGCGGAACTTCGTTCTACTTGTACGTTCCAACTTGGCAGTGAGCAATCCTTGCCTTACTGAACAGCAAAGCAGTGACGTTTCCGTCAACGTGGCAACGAAAAATTTCTGCATTTTTCTGTACACAATCTTAGAATTCTTCCCCACTCTTCTAGAAAAAGGAGGAGAAGAGCAGACATGATTGAGAATATATACTAAGTTCTTCAATACAACATGTTATGGCTTGTTTCCGCTAAATGTGAATTCATGTCCCAAGCAAAAAAGTTACTTCTCGAGTAACCCCCGAGATTAGTAAAGTATACACATAGCAGAAAATATGCCAGTGGACTTCTACATATTTATGAATTAGATTCAAGACCTCGAGGCTGTTGAAGAAACGTTCTGATTAGGGGTATAAGCTGACCGTAATCAATCACCACCGAGAGGTATTTTCCGCTGCAATAATGAAGATGGGGGAAAGGTGGTCAGAGTCTTGCACCTCGATTCCAGCAAGTTACCAACAAAGTCACTGCTACGAGAACACACTTACAGTGGTGTATAATCAATGTGGTACTTCGTAAAATTAGATAACTCATAAGGAAAAGGTTCAATACAAACAATGTCAACCTTCCAATATTACTAAAATATTGCCCAAGTTTCTAGCTGAAGGGGCATACAAAAATAGTGCCAAATTTTGCTCAGTTGTTACATTGAAACCAATTCGAAAAACTGTCATAGCTCCTCCTGAGATTTGCCTTTTACTTCAACAGGTGGTAGCTATGCAACCTCACACACATTCAAAAGACAGTCCTGACGATAAAAAACATTGAAGTTTTGGAATAACAAAAAGCAGCGTGTAAATTTACGACCCTATAGCTACAGGTAAAGATTCTGTTCACGTTTGAATTTTAAGCTCCAACATATCCAATCAACCCTCGAATAGCAAATGTTGAAAAGGTAAGATTACAAAGTCGTGCATAAATATTCCAACCTGCTCCTCAAAGGTGAAGGTGATATTGGCAGACGCATTGGCAGTCGTTGGAGCAGCAGTGGTCTGCTCCATGATGTTCCCGAATTTGGAAGATTCTTCTCTGGAAACCTTGAGATAAGCACAACAGCCGACGAATTCTACAACGAAATGGGCCAACAAGTGAGGAGCTAGCTGACCGGTGCGGACACGTGTAAAACTTGTGAACGTCTGGCCCGCCCATGGCTGCTATTGGTCGTCACTGCCACGGATCCGCCCGTCATTGGTTCGATTTAGTCGACGTCGTCACAGCACGTCAGAAAACTGCGCAGCCTTTGCGTGA